TTTCAATGGGAAAAACAAAACCAAAGACCAAGAAATATTGGATGGAAAGGGCGGGTTTGCTTTATTGCAAATGTCAGCTTAGTAGTACAGGGTCATCTACCCACATCTAATAAGCAAAAGTTTCCACGCTTAGCTTTTCTTTTTTTTCAAGCGAAGATGAGATTAGATTTTGGCACGCACAGAAAGTTGCGCAAGTACCAGTTGCTCGACATACCTGCGTGGCCCGTGCGACGAAATAACTTCACGGGATTGGCAAAGTTTCAGTCACAGCAAATTATGCAAAAAATCTAGAAAGATTTAAGCTTAAATCTCGTTTAACGTTTAAAGCGACATATCAATGACTGCAACCATCGTGTTGTATACAAACCTCGCAAACTTTAAAACACGTTCTCTAGTGATACCTGCGAAAGTATTCAGTATAATTTCCGGTAAGATTTTCGCAGACAATCTGATCGATTTCTCTTACATTGTGTGCTGAGACTGAAACTTTTCACCTCAAGCAAATCTCCGTTGCACGGCCCAAACAAACATAGCGAGGAACTGAGCTATTAGCATATATCCGTGTTAAAACACAAGAAAGGACTCTAATGTACACTTCACTCTGATTGGGCAGAAAAACACAAAGATTTTCTGGTACCAATCAGATGGCAGAACGACTGCGACCGTTTGGAACTAGTCTTGTAAGACAATGTCCCCAGGGGCTCTTCATGCCCTACCTTGAAATCGACCCACAGCCCCTGGGTCTCCTAGGATGGGTTGGTATCCTAAGTACAGTTTTTTCACAAACGTACTTCTCGCCCAGCAAATAACATACATGTATATATCTGTTTGGGTCTACTCACCCATGTTGTTTTTCTGGTATTGTGATCGATAAAGAAAATTCTGCCATTTGGAGCCGTTTGCATACCCCACCCAGGAGGCAGTAACTCCTCTGGAAGACTTCCCTACAGCAAAGCACAAAGTTAAAAAGAGAGAAAACTCACACACAGTTTCGTAAATATTTACCCCTAGGTAGTAACTTAAAATATTTAAAACAATTTTTTTTCTTCTTTTAATTAATTTTTATTTTCCACGCTCCAGATAAATGATATTTATTACCAAGAGCCTTAGAAAAGGAAACAGTGTAAATCTGTAAGTCCAAGCAAGGGTTTGAGACATTTCGACCAGGCATTCACATGCCTCCTATCAAGAAATATAATGATGCTTAATCAATTACGACAAACCTGGCTGGCACCAGTTGAGTTACTAGCAGTAGTCTGTTCAGAATCGTCAACACTCAGATGTCGTCTTATCCTGAAGTTCCTTTCTCGTATTTCATCATTTTGCTGAACCTCCTGTTGATGTCTTGATCCACTATGAATGATGATATTTTCAACAGTATGATTGAACGAATTCCTCTCGCAAAACTGCAGTTTCCTTTAGTAATTTTTTTTGGATTTTGTTACTGGGTTTTTATTCATCTGCATGTTTTTGTTTTATTCTTGAAGAGACACATGGTTGTAGTGTAGAAAATCCTGCTACAAAACAGTGCAATACCAGAAAAAAAAATTTGGAAAGGGAGAAAAAGATAACAAATACGGCAAGGAGGAAGTAGCACATCCTAAGAAGAAACATACAGAAGTCAATTTTGACAACATTATTTTCCACAGGCAATTGTGCTTAGTACACAAAGAACCTTGTCTTTAGCACAGGATGGAAATTGCAAGGCTAGGTGCGTTAAGATTTATGGCCAAGCTTGGAAACTACATATTTTGGTTAGATGAGCAGCTAGTTATAATCAGTCTCTTCATGATTTGGGTGAGATTAACCAATCACATCTTTACACATAAAATTTATGTATATTTTTATTGATGTTATTGTCTAATTCAATGTTTGGGCTATTCCACATGAGACATGAAAATTTGACAGATTTTCAAATTCAAAATATGAGAGCCAAACTTACTTTTAATGAAAGCTTATACATAGTTCTATAAGAATCCAAATCTAGATTGGCAGTAGTGG